ATGTCTGAACCTGCAGTGCTTTTTAAATACTGTTTTTCCATTGACGTACCGACCACGGGTTGATTAATCCCAGTACATTAATACAGTTGTTTTCTGAAATTTAAATGCGCACTAATCTGCACACTTTCAGAACAACATCTGAACTTTGGATAAACCCAGGCTCAAAATTCTTGTTTTGTTGACATATTAAAGGCGTATAATATATGAACAGATCTATCTATAAAAGCGTTCAGGATATAGATGGGAATAAAACTGTAAAGTTTGTATGCAAGTGCTGTAGAAGTGGAGATTTCTGGCTCAGCACATGAGAAAAAAAGCTGCTTGCATTTAAAGATATGTATTGTAACTGAAATTTACAGACACATAGAGAAAGTGTATTGTTTTCTTTTCATTAGTCTGAAAGAAGACAAGTTATGGGACCAAAACAGCACACAATCTCAAAACTGACCAATGCATGAAATAAAAATGGTTTTTACCGGTATTATGTTTCCTTAAAATAAATAAATAAAATAAACTAGACAAAAAAAGTTTGTCAAGACAAACTTTAGGTTAACTTTTTTTAAGTAATTGTAAAAAGCTTGAAATTTGAAACCGTTTTAATAGATGACATGTTTTAACACATTGTTAGCATGAATAGCATGTTGTTAACTTGTTTATAAGCATGTCGTTATCATGTTGTTAACATGTTTTTAACATGACAAGCATGCCACTAGCATATTGCTAATGTGTTTTAACAGTTAGCACGATTAGCATGTTGTTAGCATGTTAACATAATATGTTGTTAACATGATTACTGTGTTGTTAATATGTTGCTAGCATGTTTTAGCACATTCTTAGCATGACGTTAGCCTGTTGCTAGAATATTGCTAATGTGTTTAAACACACTTTTAGTATGTTGCTAGCATGTTTTTAACACATTCTTAGCATGTTGTTATCCTGTTGCTAACAACATAGGAAAAATAAAACAGGTACTGCGTCCCAAATGATGCACTTATACACTATGTACTTATGCACTGTGTGTCCAACATTCCACACTTCATTTTCCCCCCGGTTATTTAAGTGCATCATCAAGTGTATTTAAAGTGCACTTTTTCTTTTTGGGATTTTCAGTGTGAACACACTACTCGCACTATTTGTACTACAAAACGTCATAGAATAGTGCATAAGTACGCGATTTGGGACGCAACTCTAGTTTATAAAAATAGCTCGTCATCTTCTCAGAAGTGCTATATACTGTATGACCCTTGTGACCTTTATCTCTTGTTCTGCAGATGGAGGACGTGGCCGCAGCCTCTGTTCTCGCAGGCCCGTCCCAGCCCACGTTTTCCCGCCCGCTGGGCTCCGAGCGTCGGAACCGTAAGTCTGGCACCGCCAACATCTTCCAGGGCGTGAACCTGCGGCAGCTCCGGCGGCTCTTCCAGGCGGCGGGAGACCCGGACGCAGAGCAGAGGGCGCGGATGGTGTGGGGGAACCGCAGAGCGGCGGCCGGAGAGGACGGAGCGGACCGTGAGGAGGAGGACGAGGACGGAGCCGTGGCGGAGGTGGAGACGGGTCTGGCCCAGGCGCTGGTGGGACTCAGAGTCCGAGCGCGGAACCGAAGCGGCCTCAGGGTGGAGGCTCATAAAGACGGCACAGGAACACGATGGGTGCGGGCGTTCGGTCATCTCAGGTGAGACAGAGAGAGAAACGATTCTACAAAATCATTATTATCTACAAAATAAAGCCTGCTTTTGTAAACTGTCACTTTGTAAACTGTAACCAACATCATTGCAATATTTATGTACAGAATTGCAGGCACATTTAATTTGATTAGCTATTTACTCAAATTCAACCATGTACAACTAAAATTGTGGATGGATTTTTTTTTTTTAATGTCCAGGTCACATTATACCCCAAAATATAAAGATAAACAATGAGATTACATATTTTGCATAAAGCAAATTAAGCTTGAATCCTTACTCTTCATGCAAAAATAATAATGATATATAATTTGTATTGGTATTTACACTATTCTCATTACTTGCAGTGCAAAATATATTAATATCAGTATTTATTAAAAAAAAAAATCACCTTTCTCATTCCTTACAATGCTATATATATATATATATATATATATAATTCTCATTTGCAATATATTTTTGCAAATATTTATATTTGCAAATAATACATTATAAAAAAAAGGCATTCTCATATGCAATACAAAAATTATATATATATATAGTCAAGTATTTATACTTATATATATATATATATATCAAGTATTTATACAAAATTGTGGTATTTATTTACTGCCTGATTGCAATCGATCAAAATCATTATATTTTGGTATTTTTTGTAAAATGATTATATAGCAATAAAAAATACTATAGTTCAGTAATGAGAATCACCTTTGAGAATGAGAATCCCAAAAATGATTAGGTGAAAATCTGGCAACAAAAATATTTGTACAAAATTGCAAATAAATAAATAAGCACTTTTTTAAATTCAAAACACAACTTTTTCCTTTGATTTTGGGGTGAAATGTGACTTGCATATGCTTTTATAGAATTGAATACTATAGTTCAGTAATGAGAATCACCTTTGAGAATGAGAATCCCAAAAATGATTAGGTGAAAATCTGGCAACAAAAATATTTGTACAAAATTGAAATAAATAAATAAGCACTTTTTTAAATTCAAAACACAACTTTTTCCTTTGATTTTGGGGTGAAATGTGACTTGCATATGCTTTTATAGAATTTACCCTTGTAGATTTACTAGTGTTTATTCGGATGCACATGGCAGCTACACACACTGGCGTGTTGTGTGTGTGTGTTAATGGAAACATGCTAATCTAAACAAAAATAGGTCATGATCAGCCACAAACCTGCCACATGAAAGACCCTGTAAACAAACCAGAAAATGCGTGGGTCTCATCCACCCACCCGTGAACATCAGATGTGCATGATACTGTAATTACATAGCATATAACGATCTACATCTAAAAAGTGCATTCATTATTATTTAATCACCCATCAGAATCAACGAGGGCTCACTGGCACAAACGTCTGAAGTCATAACTGGAGATGAAGACAATAACGACAATAATGATGATGATGCATCTGCTTTGGGAGCCTGTGGAGGGCAGAGCTCTTTTGAGGCTGGATCATGTGACCAAGCTGACTTCCTGCCCCCAGAGGAAGAGGCTCAGGGGCCCTCAGGTGGCCTCAGATGGAGCTGGAACGCCGTTCAGGAGAAGGACCCGGAGCGATACCTGCACCGGATCCGACACTGATGCAGCGGAGTCAATCAGATTCCTGCCTGAGAGACTTGCAGTCACTGTAGATTTACTTGAAGCCACCGCCTCAATCAAACTCTAGTCTTAATCGAGCAACGATCGACACTACAGCCCCTGCAGCAGCCAGGAATGCACATTAACAAAAATCCCGCAGGATTACAGTCCTGTGAAACTTTAACACATTGTTTACCGGTTTGTGACATCCTCAGACCTGATGGTCTACCTTGCACAACAGTCAAACACTATTATAGAGATAGTTCACCCAGAAATTTCAGTTCTGCCTCATCTACTCATCCTCATGCATTACAAACCCCAAAACACCTTCCTTCTTGTGCAGAGCAAAAAAAAGATGCTTATGCTGCTCTTTTCTGACAAATATGATTGAACTGAGACATTTGAGCTCCAAAAATGACAAAATCATCACAAAACATTTCAAAATACAGCTCATTTTTTGGGCTGAACCTCATAATGCACGTAAAGAACATTTCCAGTTCACTTTATACCCCAAAATCAAAAGATTAACGAGATAGTTTCTTTTACATAAAGCAAATGACAACAAAACACATTGTCATAACTTGCCATGCAATAAGGATACATTATCTATATTGGTAAAGTATTTATACTAAAAAACAAACCTAATTCCCATTAAATGCATTGCAAAAATATTAATGATACATTACCAAAAAAATATATTTTTTCATTTATTTACATTTGGTAAAATATTTATACATAATGGTGGTATCTGTTTGCTGTCTTTATGCTGATAAAATCATTGTATTGCAGTATTTTTTTTTACTATAATACAGTAAAAAATATTGTATTTCAGTAATGAGAATCACCATTTCGCATGAGAATTTGAGAATTATAAAAAACGAAAAATATTGGGTAAAACGGAAAACAATTTTCCTTTTGATTTCAGGGTGAAGTGACTTGATTTGGTTGGATTCACCCAAGTAGATGTATTTCAGTGAATGGAGGCAGTTGTACTTCGAAAAAATGACCCCAAAAAAATCACCACCAAATATGTTTATGCACTATATTCCAGGTTATATGACTTTAGAAGGTTTGAAAAACAGTGCACGAGTCATATAGACTATTTTAAGCAGCTTATAATATAATAATATAGCCTGATGCAAAAGCTATAATATAGCAAAATATGTATTCACTATCATGTGTTCATTGTAATTATTTCATACTGAAAAGAGAAAATCATACAGGTTTGGACCAACATGTGGGCGAGCAAATGACAAGACTTTCATGTTTTGGGTGATCTGTTCCTTTAAATGCAGTGATTTAAGTCTCATTGAAGCTTCCAGAGCCACTATTAGCTTGTGTTTATTTGAATGTACGGGGCCGAAGAGTGCTGGGTTTCTATTATTTAATGATATGTGCTTGTATTTTGTTTCTGAAACACTAGTTTCTCAGTAGTTCTCCTTTTTTACGGGAGCATTTTGCCTTCCAGTGGTGTTTAAATGGTTAATATCTAAAAATATCAAAGAATGTATTAGCATTTACTGCAACACTGCAGTTCTCATCAAACCATTAGTGTTTTAGATACAAATAATCTGTGGTAATATATAAATGATAGTATTATCACCTGTAGAAGTATGCTGGACACTATTAGTGCTGATTATTTAATGTCTTCTTCTGTCACTCAGACAGACATTTAGAAGCAATATGGAAGAAAACATGTAGCCGAAATCAGTAAACACTACTACATGCACTAGAACAAGTTATTTTATTCCCTTGTGATTAAGCCGGAACTTCCAATTAAACTGTTTTTGAAATAAAACTCAAGTCTGTTCCTTTTATTGAGTTCTGCACGGTTATAGTTTTAGCATCTTTCATTAAATACATTCCATACAAATTATACAGTCCATTGTCACGGTTTAAGGTCAGTTTTGTTGACACCTGTGAATACATTGTTAAAAAAAAATGACATCTTCAATTTTCAAATGAAATCGAACTATGAACAAAAGAACAAAAGGAACGATGTCACTGCGAGAATGGAACGTTCCAGTGTTTCTGCACGCGCTCAGTTGAGCGCCAAAGTGACTCCGCCTCCAAGTTACGAACGCCAAACAGGTGAGCGTAAAAAAGTAGAAAAATATCATGCTAATGGAAAAAAAGCAGGAGAAAGTGTGACTTTTCAACGATTGCGAGAAAAACGCAACTAACACACAAGTGAGGCAAGAAAACCCTGACCAGAAAACGCTTATGAATGATATAGTTGAGCAGTTCCAGAGCAGTCAAGCATCGAGGTTTCACTACAGCAGAAAGTTTCTCCTTCATCGTCTTGTTGACTCGACATGCAGGCCATTCTGAACGCGGCTTTGTGGGTTCATAAAGTGTAACAGTCAACAAGGCAATGCTTTCCTTCAGAATTATGTGTTCGTCGTCAGTTATTCCTACTCTCTTTGTTCCCAAAATCCCAGTGAAAAAAACGTAACTAAAACCAGGCTGTAACGTTACTTGCACATCACCACCTGGTGAAGAAGGGTCTTCTGCTCTGGAAGCTCTGCGTGTAGGATTCGCTGTTGGCTCGCTGCGGCGCACGCGCCGTCTCCACGATCACCGGCGGCATCTGCACCAGCTGCAGCGGGGTCTTGCCCTCCCTCAGCGCCTGACTCAGGTTCAGGATCTAGAGCAACGCAGGGCAAGAAATGAGCTGAACCATGCCAAATCATAGGGTGGTTTTCATTCAACTTCCCTGCTCTTGTTGGTCTCTTTTCGCTTCAGTGTGAAAATGTCGTAAGGTAACGTCTCATAAAGAAATATCTAGAATCAATGATCTGCTCTGCGAATGTCAAGCAGCTTTGAGAAATGAGTTGCTGGAAATAATCACCAATAGAGGTTCATTGTTGCAAACTGTTCCAGTTGTGAATCATATTAAAGTTCACATGAACCCTTTCCCCTTTTGAAAACCTCGAAGGACATTTTCAATGTTTAAATAATATATTGTGGCCAAATAATAGGGCTGAGCGATAGCATTTGGTCAAAATTTTTAATCACAGTATTTTCCCCCATATCATTCCACATGTTTGTTAGACCTCAAAAATGACTGTGAACATGTAAACTCCAGAGAAACCAATTTAGGGCCCCAATTTATTTAATTTTTTTAAGCTTTAAAACATTCATCAACATCAAAATTGTGCATAATGAAATGAATCCTTCAAACTTCATGTTTTAAAATGTTGATTAATGTGTTAATCAAAGGAAAATATAACCATTATTTTACAAGAGAACACTGCATTTCTATTTTTGTCAAATAAGATTCTGCACATCAGAACGTATTGTATTGTATATTGTATGCATTAAACATGGACAAAAATATCTTAGTTTCATTATATTCCTCAAAATTATTATTATTTTGAGAAGTACAATTTACTATACAATTGTAATATACTGTCACAATTTCAAGTTAAACCGAACTTTTATTTTGTCAGTTTGTCGTGAAGACCTTTGAGTTTTAGTGTGAAAGCTTTTCACAAATGAAACTGAAATGCTCATGAGCACCTCTGAAGATGTAGGCTAAATATCAAAAATTTATCAAAAGTTTACTATCGACATATACAGATGTATTTTTTTTTTGGTGAATATCAATATTGCATAGCCCTATCATATAAAATATTGTAATATTATAATGCAGATTTGTGCTTTTAGTCTCTTTAAACACAAGTATAATCTAGTCATTAATGACTCACCTGCCCCCTCATTACTGAGACCTGCTTCTTGAACTGTCCTCTGTCGAAACCCGGGTCTTTCTGTCAGTGTTAACGTAAATATTATTAAATCATATTAATTTCATGGAATATAAGTCAAACATACTGGCGAATACCCAGCTGAATTTCAAAGTGATCTCTGCGACTCACCTTAAAAAGCTCATATAGATCTTCCTCAAGGTCTTTGATGAAGTTCGGGTCGGATAATTTGGGCAGAACTAATTCTCGGATCTCTTGGGAAAACGCAACTTTAGCCTGTGGCAGCCAAGCCCAGTAAAACGGGTCTACAGGACATACAATCAACAAAAAGATTCAACCGACCGTGCAAAAAACTACATCAATTGAAACAAAACACCTCAAAATAAATGACGTTGCAATGATGACATTTGAACTGTTATCAAGAATATAGCAATGTGATTGGCCAGTAGTTGGTCATGTGTTTGCGAGGTGAATGATGATTGGCTTACAGGCTCTCCATGAATCCGGGTGTTTGAGAGGGAAGGCCAAGCCATTGTCAATGGCTGCCAGTTTAATGATGGGGTCCTTCACTACCACCCAATCACTGTCCTGCATGAGAAAAGCATTCGATAAACATGAACATAAAAACACAAACTGGGACAGAAAGTCTCCCAAAAAGATCTAAACCCGCATCTGGTCACTCACCCTGTTGCTTGACGTATCCATCGGACAGTCATATTTGATGAGCCAGTTGTCATTTCCTCGATCTACAGATCCATACAACAAATAATAGTTGTTCAAATAAAGACAGTATATATATATAGTGTTTTTGGCCATTTCGTTTGACCTTAATTCTGTTGGTTTCCGTGGTTACCTGTGTTTCTGATGATGTAATCCAGCACCACCAGTCTCTCAAACTGTAGCAGGAGTTGGCGATTAGTGTTTTCTGGTAAAGGCTCCGCCTCGAACCGCCGGAGCCAGAAATCGGCGTCTTTATATCCCTCTACGAAGAGCTGGAATGAGCCCACCTACAAACAACCAATAGAAACCAGTTCACAAACCTACAAACAACCAATAGAAACCAGTTCACAAACCTACAACAGCCAATAGAAACCAGCTCACATACCTTCATACATGGCCAATAAACATTTATAAACATGCAAAACTAATTTTTCAGCAGCTTTCATTTAGAAATGTGTCACATTACAAACCTTGATTTGAAACAAAAATAGTGTTTGTAAAGTTACAACAAAATCTTTTATTAGTAAATAAACTACTCATCCCATTTGCGAATGGTGAGATCAAATTAGCCATGATGGTAAAATTGCTTGTTATGAGTAAATAAAAGAAAGCTTATATTATCGTTCAACAATGTCAGAGCTCATGGCAGTTATGTCTTGAAAGATTTATAAAGTATTGCTAAAATGTAAGTTTCCTAATAGGAATTAATGGGAGATTAATAGGATTTGTACTTCTGAAACCATACCATTGTGCTCTACAGAGTTTCTAAACCCAGGGTTATTATAATAACTAAAACAAAAATCATTTAAAAACAAACTTGAAATAAAATAAATGTTAAATATAAATGTATTTTAAAATGACATTTTGATTTATTTTAAAATTAAAATTAATTTAAATAGAAAGAAATGGGAAAATATTTAAACAAAAACAAATTCAAATTATTCTTTAAAACTAAAATTGCATCTCAATGATACTAAAATAACACTCTATAAACCTACAACATCTGAAAAAGTGAGTTCAATAACATCTAAAATGTCTCCTCTTCCTCCAGGCAGAGAGGTGGCGCTGTCATAAACCTTACCTTGGGCGGCAGGCCAATCCGGTGGAAACGCTGGCCCACCTTGGGCACTTTTTCTAGCGCTAACCTCTTTCCTCGAGACTTTACTCGGTCGATGGCGCTGTAATTAAACGTCTCACTTGATAAATACACGACCTGAGAGAAAGAGAGCACAGATAACGCTTTATATAGGACATGTCTGTCAGCAGTCAGTGATAGAGATGGTGTGGGAGTGTGAGGTAACCGTTTTGTTCAGCTGTGCAGTTGACTAGTTTGTTTTAGTGCATGCCAGCAACAGGAAATGAAAGAGGCCGACTAACAAACACTAAACCATCAGGAGCATCACCCTACTTTCTCACGTCCTCATTAACCTCGGTTTTGGTTTTGCACAAGTGCACAAGTGTGGGTGTCGCTCTCATACCTTGGTGCGCGGCACGATGTTGAGCTCTAGTTTCTGGTCCACCAAACTGGCACCGGCCTCTGACAGGTAGCCCTGATTCAGGACCAGACAGTCCCGGCCGAAACAGCACGGACAGCAGAGCTTCTGCAGCCATTTGGTCCACTTGGGGTTCAGCTGGCCGTACGGTTCCTCGTTCTTTGGTTTGAAGACGCCAATGATCTTCTGTTGGAGAAGACAGAGAGAGAGATACTGATCATTTCATGTCTTTACACATCAATGTATCGTCACGAGCCGCAGGGTTTTAATTTAGTTTTGTCTGTGTATGTTTTTTTGACTCTCAAAGCTGTGATTCCCATCCACTTCCATTATAAGACTGACAGACTGCAACGGTTTGAGTTAAAAATCTTTGTTTGTGTTCTACTGAAGAAACAAAGTCACCTACATCTTGGATGGGTAAGGGGGGTAAGCAGATAAACATCACATTTTCATTTTTGGGTAAACTATCCCTTTAACTACAATTAAAAATATTTTTAAAAATTGTTTCATTAACTGAAATAAAATATTTAAATTATTTTAAACTTATTTTATTTCAGATAGTTTTCAAGGCAACATTTCTCATTTGCATTTACTTTAACTTGATGTACTAAACTAACTAAAACTTAGAATAAATAAAAACTATTCTGCATAATTAAAAAAACAAAACAAAGAAATGCACAAAATTGCTAACAGTTTAACTAACACGAAAAGGAAAATAAAAAACATTAAGAACAAATTCAAAATATTCATAAAAACTAAAAACTTTCAATGACGAAATCTCAATGATACTAATATTACTATTTCATGCTAATCCACGACATTTTCAGTAATCATAGACGCTTTCCAGAACCAGACACCTCATTTTGACTTGAATTTTACACGGAAGCAGCTCCGGGCGGATGACGTATGAGGTCAGCTTTGCGCATGCGCCGCTCAGAAGTGACGAACGCGGAAGCGCTGCGGAGAGATCAAAACAAAACAACGGTCATTAATTAGAAGTACAAAATGAGGATTTGTAAAGAAGAATATCGGAGGATTTCGATATAAGCCAAGAGGAGACTTTGCTTCCTTTGCTCCTGTTAACAAACGTTGGTTTTCACGAGACTCACCGGCGCATGCGCAACGCTGAACTCATACCTCATCCGCCCGGAGCTACTTCCGTGTACAACTGTTGGCGCAAGCTACATTAAAGTGATTATTAAGTTTTGAATATGGATATTTTTCTTACAAAACAGGAGGTCTTTGTTCACCCCCCGGAGCCATGTGAGACACTTTTTTTTTTTAATGTATGGGCGCATTTTAATTAACTTCTTTTGGACTGATGCTTGCAACACCCGCTGAGTGGCATTAAACAGCTTGAAAGATCAAAGAGTTTTTAATATAACTCAGACTGGATTCGTCTGAAAGAAGAAAGTCATATACACCTAGGATGACTTCAGGGTGAGTAATTTATGGGCTAATTTTCGTTTTTGGGTGAACTAACCCTTTAATGCAATTTCATTAAAACAATCCAAGCATGCAGTAAATTTTAAATCATCCAATATGGGAAATGCCCGTTTTGACTGTGAAGTGTGTATTTCTTTTGAGGTAAAACACTATTTTCGACATTGATAATAATCAGAAATGTTTCTTGAGCAGCAAATCAGCATATTATACTGATTTCTGAAGGATCATGTGACACTGAAGACTGGAGTAATGATGCTGAAAATGTTATCTTTGATCACAGCAATAAATTACATTCTACAATATATTCACATAGAAAAGAGTTATTTGAAATTGTAATAATATTTCACAATATTACTGCTTTTCTATCAAATAAATGCAGCTTTACTGAGCATAAGAGACTTCTTTCAAAAACATTCTAAAATCTTACTGAACTCAGAAGTGTACAAGTTACACATTTAACCGTATTAGACAGATTTAGTGATTTCCCAACTAAAAGTGTCCTTTAACAAAAACTTCATCTGGCCTCCGTGACTCATGTGTGATTTGATTTGACCACCGCACCACCTGACCATACATGTGGTCATGTGCCTTGTGACTCGAAAAAATCAATCTAATTAGAAATAATAAAAAAACGAATGAAAACAACAAAAGCTATAGTTATAGCTAATTAAAAACATTATTGAATACTGTTATTGTCTACAATAATACTAAAATAACACTGGTGGATGTACATGCATCACATTTCTGAACACTCTGTAATAATGTAATATATACCTTGATTGCCTTTGTTTTCTCACACATCTCTTCAGCTCAAACTTCCCTGATACTGTTGTCTTCTCAGTAAACAAGTAGGCCTACACTAAACATAACGGTGATTAAAATAAGATCCCATTAACCATAAGATTACATAACAATTACATCCCATTGGTTACTACATTAAATAAAAAATTAACAAAGATCAATACAGTCGTTACAGTATTTTATAATTTAATAAACAATAAGAAAACGGTTCATTACCAGTTCCTTTGATCTGAAATCCATTAAATAATATTAACAGATACAGCTTTTGATTTTAATATTGTATTAGTAAATGTTGAAATTACCATTTACCGAGACTAATAAGTGCTTTTCATTGTTAGTTCATGTTAACTAATGTAATTGACTAATGTTTACAAATGGAACTGTATTGTAAAGCTGCCAAGAATAATAACTCATTCCTAATCAAGCCAGACTTTGACTTTTATGAGAGCTGTTACCTGTATTAAGGTCTCATATAAAAGACGAAGTGCATATCTGCTGGATAATTGAGCATGTACTGATAATGCACTGTCGTTTCACTAAAGAGAGCTTCAACGAGAAAGTGCCGGTAAGCTTTTTGTTTATCGATCAAACAGCTAGTGAGCTGCCTACATAGGCATTCTAGAAAATGCCATCTAGATTTTGAACTATGGGCCTGATAAGGCTGCTGTCCTGTGCAATAGTCCTGTCCAGTGACATTTACCTGGTTTTATCACACATTCATCAAGTTTAATAATTGCACATCTGGGTCTGGAACAAGGGTGCAATAAAAATGCTAAATAATTAACCAAAAACTTTCCAAAACACTTTCAGTTTCGCATTCACATTATAAAAACACATAACAGTGCCTGTAGATGGAGAAACACACAACTGTCCAGCTTAAACTCTACAGAAACAGATTTCTGGTTTGCATGACTCCAGGCCTGACCTGATGACACAGCTGTTACTCTGACTCCTCAACACACAACATGTCCAGCTCTGTGTGAAGCTGCGAATGCACAGAAAACTGATTAGACGAGCTTATGTAAGGGGTCACAGATCAAGACGGGATGACCTCTCACCCCTGCTGAGTCTTTGACGAAGTAGCTGCCGCTGGAGCCCTGGTAGATGCGCTCGGGGTAGATGCCCTCCTCGATGGCCCGCTCCGCCTTCCGGATGATCTCCCTGAACTCCGGATCCTCCGGGAACTCGTTCCTGTGCGGGTCGCGGGGCGACGCGCCTCGGTCTCGGTCCAGGAGCGGCTGCCGCTCGCAGCTGCGTCCTGGACTCCCGGCCGGCAGACGCACCACGGAGCCCGGCGTGCCTCCAAATCCGCCGCGGGGACTGGCGGGCTCGGCGGGACCGTAGCTGAAATCGTTGGAATCGCGAAGCGGAGAGACCAGCGGGCTCGTCTCGTCCATGACCGAGAATGAGAGAGGAGGAGAGCGGGGGGAAAGGGGAATTACGCGGGACAAGCGTTGGTTTGTTGCCGTAATGAAATGATGCGTCTCGCCAACAAACAAGTCACATGACAGCCAGCTTCCGGAAAGAGGCGGGGCTCGTGCGTCATCGCGATGCCACTGGCCAATCAGCGCTTCAGAATGCTCTTGTTTTCCATATGCACACGCTGATTGGTTAGAATTATACCACCCGTATCGAACATGTGATAAAGCACAACATCACTGGAGTTAATGCATAGGCACAGCGACAAAAATGCAGAAATTATAAAAAATAAAAAACACAATTTTGGAGAAAATAGAAAAACATAGAGCAATAGCTGCTCGCATAAAATTCAAGGCATTAATGTTTTCCTACAAAACCACCACTGGCTCTGCACCCCTTTACCTAAATGCATTACTTCAGACGTATGTGCCTCTAGAAGCGTGCGTTCTGCAAGTGAACGTCGCTTTCATCCCAAAGAAGCACAAAAACACTTTCACGGACTTTTACATTAACTGTTCCCTCCTGGTGGAATGACCTGCACAACTCAATCCGAGCAGCTGAGTCCTTAACCATCTTCAAGAATCGGCTAAAAACACATCTGTTCCACCTTTATTTGACCCTCTAACTCTAGCACTCTCTATTCTAATTCTATTCTTTAAAAAAGCGTGTCCCTTTTAGACTTGCACTCTATTCATTTACTGCTTGTTTTCTTTCTTTCTTTAAACTAACACTAGCTTTTCTAATCTTTTTGTATTCTATCTATTTGTTTTATTTTTATTTATATAATCATAAAAAAAACTTGCTATGTGTATTGCGTTAAGCTGAGACTTGTGCGATATGCACTTGTGTATCATTGCTCTTTTGTTGATTTTGATTGCTTCCATTGTCCTCATTTGTAAGTATTTGGATAAAAGCGTCTGCTAAATGACTAAATGTAAATGTAAAAAAATTAAAAGTATTTTTCAAAATATTTAAGTATGACTAAGCATGAAGACGTGTAAAATATGAATCAGAATCAGAAAGAGCTTGATTGCCAAGTATGTTTGCGCATACAAGGAATTTGTTTCAGTGTACACAGACACAACAACACACAGATAACCCAGCCGTGTGTTCCTATGCTGGAGGAAGATTACTGCGCGGACAGACGCGACGCGACGCGACGCGTACCGCGGATCACACGAAGCTTGTTGTAGCAACACGAGTTTCCAAGGGAGGAGATGCAGAGACCCTCAGTGCAGACACATTCACACCATGATGCACAGCTCAGATCATATCTGACTTGACATTTCAGTCCAGCAGTAGAGTGTCTTTAGCATGAGTCTGTCAATGGCTGCTGATGCGGTGGAGGCAGACTGTGATCTGACAGCAGAAGAGCTCTCCTTCAGCATGCAGAGCCTCCAGTGTCAGGATGGGTGAGACAACTTGACTGATTCATAGATAGATAGATTGAGGGATTTAAAAAGTGCATTTTATTGAGGTAAAATTACAGTATTAGACATAATTTATTGGCCAGTGTGTATGTGCATGTGTGTCTCTGTGTGTATATTTCAGAAATATTTTGAATTTATACTGATATGAGTTGTGAAAATTTACTATAGATATGAATCACATTTTTTCATATTAATCAATACTAATATATAAAACAAGGAACTGTAAAACATTTTGTAATACTAATGCAATTGTCATATTTTCTAAATGAAGCCTTAAACGTAAAGTGATTGCTAAAGTGGTTTCATATCAATTGACAGTGGTCAGTTTTGAATACATGTACTGTATTTTATATATTTACTTTATTTTTTGCTTTTTTATTGGGTCCTATATTGACATACTGAGTATTTTATATTAATTAAGATTAATTAATTAAGTCAAATCTGGGTATTTTTTTGTGGATTATAACTATTAGTTTTATGCTATAATTTGATGCACATTTTCTTTAAGTCTGGATCCGAAGAGCTCGCCCCCCTGGAGAAAGCTTGTTTTGACGCCTGAATGCATCAGTCCGCCGCTCAACACCCTCTCCTGGGAGAGAGAGACGCCGACAGGTCCGGACAAGAGCTTCACACACACACACACACACACACACACACACACACACACACACACACACACACGCTGCTTAATTTACTCTCCTCTGAGGACACTTCAAAGTCAAGCTGTTCCACCTTCTTGTGTTTGCACAATTAGATTAGTTTTATCTTATGATTTGTTTGATCAATGTTTTTGAATCCTTAGCTTGTCACCTCTCTTCAAATGTTTCTTTCTTAAGATCCAGTGTTGAATGCTTTCAAAAACACACATTTGCATGCATATATTTTAATGCAATTTACTGTGAATTTTCTCTTAGTCTCTGCAGTAAGAAGAAGACGAGCAAGGTAAAATAAAGATGCATGACCTCATATTAATAATGCATTGCATTAATAATCTGCGATGATCACAGCAGTGTTATTTTAGTATTGCCAATCATAGTTCTATTATTATTTTGAATGAGTTTTTATTTATTTTTAGACTTTTTAGGTTTTCATTTTAATTTGAGTGATTTTGTGTTTTTGTTTGTTTGTTTTTTTTAATCTCAGTTTTTTATTTTAAACTTTTTGTTTTTAATAAAACAAGTTTAATTATTTTAAATATTTTATTTCCATTTGTTTTAATTACCTGTAATAAACCTGTATCACAGTTATTAGAAGACAAGCTATCATATATGTCCTGTGTTTGTCTCAGCAGAAGCCTGTCTCCTGACTCCTCTTCAAACACGGTATAGGACATTTACAGTAACCAAATACAGTAAATAAAAAAATTAAAAAATAGCCAATTATATTTATTTTGACATTAATTTCATGACACTTTAACTCATTTACAACTCTCATAATGTATCTGATGTTCTTGTACTTTTTACTTCCAGCCCAGGAGTCTGTGGAGGAACTGTCACGATTCTCCTACCAATAAGGAGAACGAGCGTGCAATTGTCGGTAACGCTTATATATAATATTATTATTATTTAGGTAACCAAAATGTCAATATGTAAATATAAATGTGATATGCACCTAATTATCCACCTTATATTTAACGTAAGTGTGGCGTGGCCATTTGTAACGTAAATGTGCGCGACTTCCGGTGTCACTGGCTTCCAGTTATTTTAGCTGTACAAAAACAGATCTTTATGCTGCTTGATATTGCAAACTGGAATTTGTTATCTTGTTTTTAAAGTATTATTGTACTTGTTTCTAGCGCAAACAGTTTTACCGTTTACTGCATTTGTTACTGTTAGTTCTGTAACTTCTAGTGCGGCTAATGAATCATAGTCTCGCACATCCACAGAAAACAGCTTATAATTCTGCTGAATCTGTGTATCTTGGCATCAGTGTTGGGCTTGTTACTCAAAATTTTTTATATATTACTCATTACTAGTTACGCCTGTCAAAAGTAATTTTATTACATTATTTATTACTCCCGGCCAACAGTAATTAGTTACACTACTAGTTACATTACTTTTCCATTACACCCCAAAAAGCCTCTGAATCCATGAAAGTTACAGATAAATAAAGAGTGCTCAAACTGATGACAAGCCACTATATTTTTAACAACTTTTGTTATTTAATAAAGCAGCAACATAAAATCTGCAACAGGGCTCAAGCAGGTAGAACCAACCAAACGTGTTGGGATTCGCAGTAGACAAAGTCTTAGTACCACTGCACAGTTTACATGTGACATCCTTTCTCCCTACAAAATTATAATAATGGCTGTATATTCCAGCCGCTATATGACGAAGCTAGCTTGCTGCTTTGGCAACGATTATGAGGGATGATTGTATTTTTGAATTTCAAATCATAAGCAATTGTGACAAAAAAGTAACTAGTATCCAGCTGTTTTTTTTTTGGATGGTGACTGTAATATTATTACTTACATTTGATTATTAATTAGTTACAGTACTAGTTACCAGGGAAAGTACTTTTATTACTGTAATGGATTAGTAACTAGTTACTGCCTATCACTGCTTGGTGTGATGTTGACATGGTATATTGCACTGTATTGTTTTGTACACTGGGTCATGCTCATAAAGGCTGTGTTTCACTGCGGCTGCATTCATTCACAATGCTGGCCTCGACATTCATCCAGCAGAAGAGACTGCGTGTGCGGCTCTCCAGTAGATTCTCCGCTGCAGATGAAGCCGAACCGGGCCGAACATGGAGACAGCACCGCAGTGACCCAGAAGAGGATGCCAGTCTCCCACGAGAGACGAGTGCGGTCGACCCGGTGGTGAGGATCAATGCACAAGCAGTGTCTGAGCCTGAGTTGGAAGATGCTTGTGTTTTCACTCTCTGCTCGTCTGCAGGCCGCTGCGAGGTTCAGTCAGCTGAGGTCACGGTGGAAAGCCCCGCCCACACACGTCACTCAGGACGCCGTCACTGACCTCACTCTCATAGGAGACTTCAGTAAGGTTGGTTCTGCAAAACCAAAATGAAACAATATGATATTAAACAAGACAAACGCGAAGTTTATTCATAAATTTAGCCATGAAAAGCCAGTTTTTTGACTGAATATGACTTTCTGCATTCTGCACTTTTTAAAGAAATTAATACTTTTATTCAGATAAATTCTTAAATTGATCAAAAGTGACAGTAAGATGTTTATAATGTTACAAAAGATTTGCATTCCAAATAAGTGCTGCTCTTTTGAACTTTATATTCATCAAAGGATTCTGAAAAGCGTATCACAGTTGCCACAAAAATATTAATCAGCACCTGTTTTCAACATTGATAATAATCAGAAATGTTTCTTGAGCAGCAAATCGGCATATTAGAGTGATTTCTGAAGGATCATGTGACACTGAAGACTGGAGTAATGATGCTGAAAATACAGCTTTGATCACAGGAATAAATTACATTCTACAATATATCCACATAGAATGAAATAAATGCAGCAGACTGACCCCAAACTTTTGAATGCGAATTCCAATTATAGTACTAATTTTCATGCCTTCTCAGCTGGATTGTGTTTTTAGATAAACATGTACATTTATGCATCTAGCAGGGTAGTACATTTTATCCAAAGCCACTTACAAAAGAGATTAAAAGGTGATATGAGTCTGAAGTTGGTTCTGAAAGTGTTTATAGAAATCATAGTCAATTCATTATTTCAGTCTTGATTCAAATGGTTTCCATAGCAACACCTGCTTCCTGTTGAGAGTGGCGGCCATCAGGAGCTTCACTGTGTCAGCGCTCACACTGTAAGTGATCATGAACATTTTCTAAGCTAAAGTGGATCAGAAAGCTCTGATAATTACGTGATGTTCTTTGCAATGTGGAATGGTAAAAGAGTCCCATTTGAATGTCATCTCATATTAAATGTCCTTTTAATCTCAAAGCAGCTGAGACCGATGCATAAGTTCTTTACACAATTATTTCATGGGTTTATTTTAATGACGTGTGTCTTATTGATGAGATGTTGAGGTAAAAGTGTTGTCTGCTCCTGATCTGAAGGTGGCGTCACTGATCAGAGGTCAGTTTGGTCCTGCAGTCGAGGATTTCCTCATCGTTGACTGCCGTTACCCATACGAATACCAAGGAGGACACATTAAGGTACATAAATCTTACATTATGAATGTTTTAATGTGATGAGGTCTTTCAAACCAAGGTCCAGACTCAACAGAAATCGCTCTAATATGCTGATTTGCTGCTAAAGAAACATTTCTGATTATTATCAATGTTGAAAAACAGTTGTGCTGCTTCATATTTTGTGAAAAGTGTGATACATTTATTTTTTCAGGATTCTTTGATGAATATAACATTAAAAAGAACAGCATTTACAGTATTTGAAAGAGAAATCTTTTGTAACATTATAAATGCCTTTACTGTCACTTTAGATCCATTTCACGCATCCTCGCTCAATAACAGTATCGACTGACTCCAAACTTAATATTTTTAATAAAATGCATTAAATAGATCTAAAGTGACTGTAATATTTCTATATTAATGTCACATTGAATCCATCAGCAGGGCATTTGGTCTTCATATCTTAACCTTTACCTCATTCAGGGAGCAGTGAATCTGTACACTGAGTCTCAGATTCAGCAGGCGGTGCATCAGGCCTCAGCGGGAGCCCAACTTTCGCCTCGAAACGCCTCGTCCTGGAGGATGAGGATGAAGGGACGTCTGTCTGACTCACTCCCAGAGGAGGAGGGGTCGTCGCCACGGAAACTGATCATCTTCCACTGCGAGTTCTCATCGGAAAGAGGCCCACATCTGTTGAATTGTGGGGACTTTCCATAGACTTCTATTACTTTTATACTGACCAAACAATGTTTTCTATCCCCTAACCCTAAACCTACCCCTTACAGAAAACCTGTTTGCATGGTTACACTTTCAGATAAACATCATTTACTATTGTTAATAATTTCTTCCCTCGTAGGGACCGCAGGCCGTTCCCCACAATGTCAAAAATTTCAGGTTTTACTATCCCCCACAATGTATCATAAACAAGCATTACAGAAAACCTGTTTGCATGGTTACACTTTCAGATAAACATCATTTACTATTGTTAATAATTTTTTCCCTCGTAGGGACCGCAGGCCGTTCCCCACAATGTCAAAAATTTCAGGTTTTACTATCCCCCACAATGTATCATAAACAAGCACACACACACACACACACACACTGAGTGCGTTTATGATGGCACAGGCTTCTTGCCCAATCCACAGGTGTCAGTATCTGAGGAGGCTGGACAGACAGGCCAATGTGTATCCCAGCCTGCACTATCCGGAGCTCTACCTGCTGCTGGGGGGTTACAAACACTTCCATGCCTCTTACCCGGTACAGTACCACACACTATCTGATTATCTTCACCACAGTATGCTGCAGCAGCTCAGTCAGGTGTCTCTGTGTCTCAGGATCTGTGTGATCCCTGCGGTTACGTGCCCATGCGCCACCGCGAGTACCGGGATCAGCTGCACGGATACCGCAGGAAACGGCCAACACGGCAGCAAAGACGACGGCCAACAATCAGAGTACATCAGAGAACCACACGCTAAATACTATATATACACACACACACACACACACACATACATATACATATACAGTCAAACCAAAATTTATTCAGACACCTTCAACATTTCTCACATTATCACAGTTTGTTTGCTATAGTTTAGAAAATTGTAATGAAATATGACAAGAACTCAGAGTTAAACTGTTTTAGAACAAATTCATCTTGATAATATCAGATAACTTTGATAGAAAGGTATGAAACGAATTCGGCTGAATTGCTGTATTTATGTACACAATTAGATAATACCAATTTAGGTCAACCAATTACCAAGAAATGCTTAAATTGGTTTAGTCTGTGATGTAAAAAGTTTGCATTAGCACTTAAAAGAAAAACACTTAAGCAAAACATGGTCAGGTCAAATGTCTGATAATTTTTGGTCCCACATTTGTATCAGTTTTACTGGTAGTCCACTGTATGAAGAATTTTTGGGTATAATATATCAGTTTAGTTTATTTTGCTATCCTCACTTACATAAACAAACTATAGTGTCCTGAACCCACTAGTAAAAAAATATTTAAAATGGTGTCTGAATATATATATATATATCAAATATTTGCAAAAATAATTAATAATAATTATGGCTACTAATGTTATGTATAACACCTTTGCTTATATATTTATGTATATGACCCTTCATGTACCCATCTCTCAGCTAATCAACTAATCTGTAGCTCTTTGAATAAAGTATTTCAAACACAGACTGTGTTTTATTTATTAAAATTTTCTTTTACATTTATACAATAATACCACATTAAAGGGGATGAAAAAGGGTCTGTGAAAATGTTTAGCTAAAGACAGTGTAAAAATGTTAAAATAAATAATAAAACTATGAATAAACTACATAAATTGATTAAAATAATTAAATAGATAATAAAACATGATTTAAATAAATACTACATCTAAAAATACTCGTTTATAGTGAACATAACAAACACAACGTGGAAAAACAATCATTTAAAATAATAGAAACTAAATATTTTCCAAATAGTATTTTACTCATGATATTATTTTTACTGTATAAATTGGGTTTATACAATGAAAGTATTCAGCCTTTTAAATTTTCATATTTTAAAGAAAAATCCCAACACTACATTATTTAAATTAAAATCATATATAATGTTTAAAGTGAAAAAGTAAAATTTTTCGAACTTCCACAATAATAATAATATTATATTGTTTATGTATAAACATGTATGCCGTAAAAATATTTAAATATTGCGCTTCCAACCAGCTGTAAAACTGTATAATTTCTTCTTTTACACTTAAGACTGTGTTCTGATGATAAGCAGCGTAGGGGCGTCGTAAACGCGCGTGCGCTTCCCTCTGATTGGTCTCGTGCTTCAGGAAGCGTTGTGTTCTCGCGCTGTCCTCCTTTAACAAGCGACGACCTCCAAACTCACCGGAGCGATATTCCCGTTCACCGTGTTTGCATCTCTCATCCGTCTCCTCCGTTGCCCGCCAACATCCCCGCAGTGTTTCCAAGAGCTCGCGTGATGGCCGCCTATAAGCTGGTGCTGATCCGCCACGGAGAGAGCTGCTGGAACCAGGAGAACCGCTTCTGCGGCTGGTTCGACGCCGATCTGAGCGAAGCCGGAGCCGAGGAGGCCAAGAGGGGCGGCCAGGCCCTGAAAGGTGAGCGGAGCCCGTCTATTAAACCGGTCTTGTGTTTGTGTGGGGCCTGCGGAGATCAGCGCACTGCAGCAGCAGCTCCTCTCATGTTGTTACTGGTACAATAATATTAGAAATTAATTAATTATAAACGCAGGATCGCTCAATATCGTGCTGCTCTTCCTCATCTACTCTTTAGCAACTGTAATGCAAGAATTTTAGCTTGCCAAAGCGTAAAAAAACTTGAACTATAACACAGAAGTCGTGATAAGATTGTTTAAAAATACGACATTATGACATTGACATAAATGTCTGCTTTTTGATAATATAATATCTTCTAAATTGTCTCTATGGAGGGGGAAACCAAAAAGAGGAAAAGGATGTTTTATCAATATTTAACAATATTTTTCTACTTCAAAAACAAAAACAGTATTTTTTTTTAAATTTTATAAAATTAAAAAAATCCTTTTTATGTATATGCAACTATAACAATAATTATAATATGCATTAAATTATAATAATATTTATAATTGTTGCACTTTTTGCAGGACAGATGTTGAGTGCTTTTCTTAATGGACCAGGTCCTATGGGATGCAATTCCCGCCAAAAGTATTGCAGTCACAGATACAAAAAAAATTATAATAAAAAGCATGAAACCAAAAGTTAAAAACGCAAGTAAAAATATACTGCACAAAATTCAAAAATGAAAGCAAAGTTTTCAGAATAGCAAACAATGGTCGCCGATCGTAAAATAATGAGCGCAAATCAAAAATGTAATAACGCATAAAAAAAAAACAATAAGCATGAATCAAAACTTTAAACGCATTTAAAATCATGTTGCACAAAACTGAAATATTCATGCAAAATTATCCAACTTGCACACAAAATCATGTTTTCCTTGGTTATATTTCTCTGTTTTTTGTGCTGTATTTTTATATGCTTATGCTGCTTTCCCTTCGCTCTTGTTTCCACGTTCTGTGCTTGCTTTTGCAAATGTTGCGGTTAGTTTCATGTAAATCAGGGCGGGTTTAAGCGTCACCTTTGGTCCACTAGTTCTAGATGTGCTTCATTAGCTGCCGATGCTCACAAACCACTTCTTACTGACCCCAGACCTTTGAAGCGTAGGTCACATGCAATGTGCAGAATGATGCAAATGCTGTTTTTCCTCTCCCGTAGATGCGGGTTATGAGTTTGACATCTGCTACACGTCTGTGCTGAAGCGTGCCATCAGGACCCTGTGGCTGGTGCTGGACAGCATCGATCAGATGTGGCTGCCCGTGCATCGCACCTGGCGTCTGAACGAGCGCCACTACGGCGGCCTGACGGGCCTCAACAAAGCCGAGACAGCGGCCAAACACGGCGAGGCGCAGGTGAAGATCTGGAGACGCTCCTACGACACCCCACCTCCACCCATGGACCCCGAGCACGACTTCTACTCCGCCATCAGCAAGGTGAGCAGGACACTGACGACCACCAGAAATGTGTCGATTCAGCATGCAAGAGCCATAATTTAAATAAATACAATTTAACATTGGAAGTGCTTGAGTAGATATTATTTTAATATGTTTAGATTTATATGTATATTGGTTAAACAC